CCTCTCTGTGACGGCAAGGGAAACTATGCAGCGTTTCATTGCGTACCTGCTCACACGTAAGTTATGATAAAAATTGCCTATAAATACTTGTTTAACATTTTTCTACCTTAACAATGACCTTCTGATGGTTACAGCTGCTTCTGTCAATCTGAAGATGGCGAGAGAATTTTCGGCGAAAGACTTAATTTGGGCGCCACCACCATGCAAAATATGCATTGCGGTAATTATATATTTATATCAGTTATTCAGTCTCACTCGTGTTATCAAACAGTGCGCACGCGTTCAAGCGGAATCGCGCATCCCCACCCAGCGTAACGTACATTACCACTGGTTCCTAAACTTTTTACTATTCTCGCGATGCTCACATGCACAAGATGCAAAGTCGAATTCAGAGAGGGAGCGCATTGCAGCTCCTGTCAGGGACACTTTGACTTTCCCTGTGCGGGCATAACGGAGAACGGGTATCGAAAGCTGGGTGACAGGCGCAACACGTGGAAGTGTGCCACCTGTAAGGTTGCCGGAAACTCCAGTCCACGTCCGGGGTCATCTAAAGCCTCCGTCCCAGTCGACCTTGAGAAGGTGATGGAGGATTTGAGGTGCCTGACATTCCAGTTGGCTCCACTCCCATCGATGATTGAAACAGTTAAATTAATTCAAACAGACCTTAAAAGCTTAAAAGCAGACATCACTGACCTGAAATTATTGAAGACTGACATCGCCGACGTAAAAGCCTCAATGGAATTTGTTCAGTATTCCGTGGAAATGCTTACAGGCAAAGTTAGTGCTTTGGACAAAGAAGTGCAGGAGCTTAAGAAATCTAAAGACGACTTATCTATCCTGCAGCGGCAAGTGAGTGATCTTAGAACGGTAGCTCAGGAACAAGATCAAAGAGCTCGCATGAACAACATGGAAATAAAGGGGGTTCCAATGACTAACTCGGAGAACTTATTCTCATTAGTTACGAACATAGGCAACCTCATTCAATGCCCCATTACAAAAGACCAGATCAATTACATCGCAAGAGTGCCTTCGCGTGGCAATAACAGAATCAAGTCGATTGTGGTGTCGGTTCTTAATCGATACCAAAAAGATGATTTCGTTGCGGCAGCCAGAAAACTCACAATCACAGCAGCCGACCTGGGGCTACAAGGTGGTACGAGGATATTCATCAACGATCACCTCACTGTTGATAACAAAATTCTACTCAATAAAGCAAAGGCGCTAGCGAAGGAAAAAAACTTTGCCTTTACTTGGGTAAAGGGTTCAAAAATCTTTATGCGGAGAAACCCGACCTCACCAATTATTGCCATCAGAACCGAAGCCGACCTAAAAAAACTGTGCACTTAATAATTAGTATCAAGTCAGTATACGTAGATTTATCTTGCCAAACAAATTTTTGTCTCACGCATTATTGTAAGTATTATAACATCTGCACGAAAAGTTTGAGAACCGCTGTCACACTATTCCACTCGCACCGCGCGAATTGTTTTCTTGAAGTACCCGCGCATGGGTATCTCGCTCGATACTATTCATTCCATTGCATGCTATTTACACATATTTACAATAATTTACACACTACCTTCGCCGCTAAACATTATTACTCACCTTCAAATCGCACTTCACGCGCACTTTATAACAATAGCTTATATTTATGTTTTTCCTGTGCTATAAGGCTTTTTATAGTAACCACTCAGTCGCTAAAACTTTTTAGATTAAGATGTCCTCGATAAAAATTTATTACCAAAATGTACGCGGTTTGCGTACAAAAACAGGGGATTTCTATAGAAATATTTGTCTTAGTGACTACGATATAATATGTCTTACAGAAACATGGCTAATTGAAGGTATTAATAACAGTGAGCTATTCGACCATCGCTACTTGGTATGGAGGAGGGATAGGGATTACGAGGCTAGGGACCAGAC